TCAGGTCCCTGGATCAGATGGTCTCATCTTTTTTATGGAACGGAAAGGCCCCCAGAATGAGACTTTCTTTATTACAACAGTTCACCACAAACGGGGGTCTTTCTCTACCTAATTTTACAATGTATTACTGGTCCTCACATATCCATAAACTGACTTATTGGTTAAATTCACCTGATCTGATTTGGTGTAAACTTGAAATTCAGTCGATTTCTGCATCTTTTTCGCCCGCTTCAATTATTTATTCATCATTACCAATTAAATTATCCTCAGTTACTACAAATCCTATATTGCTCTCAACACTCAGGATCTGGTCACAATTTAGGTCCCACTTTAAATTTGTATCACCCTCTAATAAAATGCCGTTACTAAAGAATCACATTTTTTCTCCAGCATCTAATAATGCTGCCTATAGAATTTGGTATGAGAAAGGTATTAGAACAATGAGAGACCTGTACGAAGATGGTTTATTTCTTAGTTTTTCAGAATTGTCTTCTAAATTTAATCTACCCACTTCACATTTGTTTCTTTACTTCCAAATTAGGCATTGCGTTTCATCGCAGTTTCAAAATTTTCTAACTTTGCCTACTGACCCACCATGGGTTGAACTCTTAGTTTTGAGCCCCAATTTGAAATCTCCTCTTTCAATTATTTATGGAAAACTTATGGCAATAGAGGCCGACTCATCGGGTAAAACTAGAACTGCATGGGAACGTGAACTGGGTGTTAAACTATCAGATTCATGGTGGGATAAAGTTATTCTCAGCATACGTCAGAGTACACCATGTGCCAGACTACAGTTAATACAATTTAAAGTAATAAATAGAGTACACTTCTCAAAAACACGTTTATCTAAAATGTTCCCCTCAATACCAGACCAGTGTGATAGATGTCAGACTTCACCTTGCAACTTAAGTCATATGTTCTTTTTCTGCCCAAAACTGCAAGGGTTTTGGAAATATTTTTTCTCCATACTCTCAGGAGTTTTTAAGATTCAGTTTCAAAGTGATCCACTTATTGCTATTTTTGGAGTTCCTGGGACCACACTTAATCTATCCCGCCAACAGGGGGAGGTCTTGGCCTTTTGCTCTCTCCTTGCCAGACGTTGTATTTTGCTCGCCTGGAAATCTCCCACACCACCATCTACATCACAATGGCTTAATACTGTAAGATTATACTTGAAGATGGAAAAAATTTTACTAACAGTGAAAGGTAGTTCAGAAAAATTTACCCACAAGTGGACACCCTTTGTGTCATATGTAAAATCTTTACCTTCATAGCGTATAGACTGATATGATTGACTCATCACATTACCATGTGACTTGTTTTTAGAGGATAAATGAAAGACTGAAATACTGTTTTCCTTTTGGTTTGTTGGGTCCCTCCTGTTCGTTCCTCCTCCCCCTCTCTCTTTTTTTTTTTTTTTTTTTTTTTTTTTTTTTTTTTT